ATATATATATATATATATATATATATATATATTACAGAGAGATTTATATTAAAATAATTAAAATTTGTAAATATGTTCGATGTGAGATATGTAGATGGGTACACAAGTTTTAGATGCAAGTGATAGAGAAAGTTAGACGCTGTTATATTCAGGGCAAGGTGCGCGTTACAGGTGTGTGCATTTCGTAACGATGTATTGCAAGCTGACAGACATCGTGAGACATTAGTGAATATAACCTATGGTTTTCCATATTCAACAAACATGCATTTGAATTGCGCGAGAAAGATTTCTTCTAAGTACTAATTTCGCATACGAGTAATAAAATTATCATACCAAGATCTATTAGCTTTATTATTTATCTTTCTTGTTACATATTTATAAGTTTAATTTACAAATTAGTATCTTCTTGATAATTTTATTTTAATTAAATTCTTTTGATCCGCAGAGATCTCTCACTTATACAATCAGATGTTCTCTCACTTATACAATCATTCAAATAACGAAAGTAATAGATAATGTAATTGTCAATTCTTATGTAAAAAAGTTCTTCTTTCACGAAATATCCATATTAAACCAAATAATAAAAAAAATGAAATTTCAATGCTTGCATTTGCTTCATAGTTCATGAATCCGTCTGTTCGCGGTACACATCAAGTTGTATTTTAAAGTTTAAAATATCATTTTTTTTATTTTTTTATTCTGTCATATTTAAAAGAATTGTAAAAATTATTCCTGAGTGCAAATAAAACGAAGCAATAACGATTGCGATGCAGCGTCAGAGCGATATCGGTGATAAACTGAAAGCATGTCGAATCTCAAGAAGGCTTTTCTTGGCTTCGCTCTAAACTTAATTCCGTCTTCCGATAGTAGCGGCGTCTTATCTGCAAGTCGACCGTCGACGCGTGCCTCTGTGTGGTCTAATACAACCGGCTAAATACAACTAAGTGAATATCAAGCAAAGCATTTTCTCTTTCTACTTTTCTTCTCCCTCTCAGAGTAATTGCATCGTGTTAATCGATAACACATCAAGAAAAAAATAATTATTTCGAATGGACAACGCAATAAAAATTTGATTGATTGATATTACTATCATTCCATATTTCTAATTTAATCATGTACATGTTTTTCTTTTCTTTTTTTTTTTTAGAAAAGTTTTCTTTTCAAAAATTGTTAATTATAGTATCACTATAGTCATTAGAATTGTATCTCGTAATAACGTGTAAATACGTTAATTTTAAGACTTACAGTTCTAAATTATATATATTCTATTCTATTTTATATCATTTTATAAACTTTATCGTTATATTATTCTGTATTGTCTATTTTAAATTTTCGACGTAATAAATTCTTCATTTCACGTGAAATATTCATTTATATCCGTATATGTAATATTTATATCTTCTTATGTCCATTGAATACTTGCGTATTAATCTAATTCAACATGTATTTTATAACAGATCACATTTACTTTATCTTTGGTTTCTCCGAAATCAAGTTGATATCAATCTGACTCATTTTCGATTGAATTTTATTGTAGAAACTTCTAAGCGTGACATACGGTGACAAACATGATTTACATTTCGAAATAATTCTTT